TTTCCCTTTTCGAAGAAATGATATTTGACAGATCGTTATTTATCGTTTTAGGTTGAGACTGATTCTCAAAAATGTTTGGAGTCAGTTTATATTAAGTCCTCCCAGTCACCCAGCTCTAAGTAGAAAGTGTGGCGGTCAGTTCTAAGTATAATCACCCCTTGAGATTTATATATTTATTATGTAACATCTTGTCTCTTGTACCGTTCGCTGTGCATATTTCTCGTCCTCGATTGCACTCAGATGTGAAAGGAACGAGAAAACGGTTAAGATGTTCAAAACTTGGGTTAACCGTTATCTTTCCATACATCCTCATGAACTTTGCCTCTTACTCTGTAACCTCCTACCTTGAGTGACTCTCGAGCCTTGTACAAAATGAACATTTTGTAAAGGAAAAACGGTTAGGCAGTATTCGTTTTTTTTTAATTTACTTGCTTTCTGATATTACTACTTTAAGGTAATATAAATATTTTGTTATTCTTTCTTGCTAATTTTATTTATCCATTTTGATCGACATTATTAAATTGCTTGAACTTTTCAAAATATTTAGATTCCCTCAAAACTTTTGGGACCAATCCAAAGAGTAGAAAGAATAAAAACATGTATGAATTGTGTATTTTGAAAAAATAAAAGGCAGAAGTTTAGCTAAGAATTCCAAATATTGTTTGGACAATTAAATCCTTTTGTCTCCTTGATGGTGTTACCACAAGAATCTGACCTATGCATCCTTCAGTTTTCGTGAGAAACCTTTCTTTCTGATTATGTACCTGAAGAAGACTGAAGAGTGTATCGGCTGAAAATTCTAAGAACATCACCAGGAACACAAAGAATTTAATTGTCGGAATAAAATGTTTCAATGATATTAAATCTTTTGAAAATTGTAAACAATATATTAATAATGGCTATTAAAACAAACATATGTGAGGTAACTCTCTGAATGTGACTGGTACCAAGTAACGTCGTAAAACCGGCCGCATGGTCGGACCAGTGGTGAATGAAAGGTTTCCACACCACCAGGTCTTTCTCGTATGGAGGGTGGATAGACACCTAGCAGGATTAGGATAACCCCTTCTGCAGTGTCATGGGTCATCTAGCCCAATGGGGTAGATTCGACTCCATAGATATGTCTGCCATCAGTGCGGTGATGACACAGCTTTTCCAGGCTACGCAGCTGTGATCAACCTGAGCCTGAGTTTAAGGACATTGGCTCTGGTTTAACTTGGAGTGTGATAGATTTCGCCAGGTTAATTTGTCCAAGAAAAACTATGCTGGCTTTCAATCTAAATACGTGGAGTGGGGACTGGGCAGGTGCACAACGACCATTCAACCATGCACGGTCATGGAACTGATGATGGTCAAATATATTCAATAAAATGAGAGGGAAACGAACAAAAAAGTAATGAAAGAAACAATAAGGGGTGAAAAAAAAAGATGACTGGTTCTCGTTCCACTCTCTTCAGATGTGGATCGACAAATTAAAACAGTTCTGTACGAAAACTAAACAGGGGTAACAAATTTCTACACTGAAGATAACATATACACTAGAATCCCTCATCTCCGGAATCCTGCATATCCAGACATGATTTTAATGTGTATATTTGAACTATTTGAGTAATATGTAACCGACTCAAAATTTCTGTTTTTCAGGAAATTTACTTTGGATAATTGCTTATATTCATTTCACCCTAATGGCTTGTATTGGTGCAAAAGATGATGAGCTAAAAAACAACTTTGGAGTTATTCGCAAAAGTGGAAATTTTAAACAGACTAGACTCTGGTGAAAATTCATTGTAACTAATGGCTGAGTTCGACATAGGCAAGTCTACATTGTAGGATATAAAATCTTCCAATGAAACTATACTCCAGCATTCACTCTCTCAAAAGGAAATAAAAAAAAAGAGTGATTGTGATGAAACCTGGACTGAAATTGAAAAAGCTATTAAAAAGGTTGTCAGTTTTATAGAAAGAAAGCCAGCATTCAGTTATGATGATTGCAGTAACGCACACAGAGTTAAAAATTCTCTTTCGTTTATAAAATTTCAAGAACAAAAGCAAAACGAAATGCGGGAAAAGTTGCGAATGACATAAGTGAAAGAATCATCATGCAACATCGATTAAAAAAATCCTCGTTACGTTGTTTGTTTGGAATACTTAACTTAATGAATTTTCATTAACATTACATAATTTGCTTCTTTTTTCTTAAAATTAATTCTGTTATGTTTCACTCACCATAAGCTTATTTTGTTTACTTTAAAACATTGAAAATAAATGTTAAACCTGATTTCAGTTCTTTTTTTGTCATCTGAATATAACTCCTCATATCCGGAAGGCCTTCTTAGCCCGGTTATCAAGGATTCTACTCATATATATATATATATATATATATATATATATATATATATATATTATATATATATATTTTTGTAAAATCAGCAGCACTAGCAGCTATTCTCTTTCCTTATACAGACGAGGCTGCACAGTTTTAATAAATATATTCTCCATATCCGTCAAATGAATGTCCAAATGCGAATTGATGAAACTAGAGAACATATCTTCATAGCATGACAAAAGTTGGCCTGGATATATTCGTGAGTTTATAAAAACACTGAAACTGATCTTTACAAATGCAGCCGGGCAGATGGTGGAATATTCTTTTCTCCGACTATCGGGTCGTTCGATTTAAGTCTTCAACCTCACGCTGGCATTTAAACTGAGACATAACAGAAGTACTTTTATAGATAAATAGACCTTCTTTATGAACGTTGTTTAAGAAGAGATGCCAATGTAGGAATTGGCAGCAAAAGTAACAATTATCAGGTTGTTCCATATATCTCTTCGTTTTTCTGATGTTCTTCAAATAATCTCGATGGCATCTTTCTTTCCATTTTTTTGGCTTCTTATTCTGTGAAAATGTCTGACAATATTGAAATTTTATTTCAGATTTGTCACTCCTTACAGTCGGAATGCCAAGCAGAAAATAATTAGCATGTTCGACATGATCATCATCTCTCTGCTTTTAATTAATGTTACAAAGCTGTCAAAGCTGCTCGAGATATTTGGGTTGTGTACACAGATGACTTCATTACCGACAGAATGGCATAGTAATAATTTCCCTGATTCAAGGAGAGAAAGATCGAACTCACACACACTACGCGTTCTGACCGACCTATTTGGTTTGGTGAGAGCCAATTGCACGCGCTGATTAAAGAAGAACCACACCTGACTACTTGGGAATTGGCTCAGAATATGGCAAGCTTTCATGTTACTGTCGATTGTCATCTTCACTCAATGGATAAAGGTCCAGGGACATGTGTAGGTGCCACACGCACTGACCGAAATAAAAAAAATTCCATTGCCACCAGTTTACTCGCTCGACACCAGGCAACTCGTGGATGCAAAGAAAGAGATTGACTGGGAACTTCTGCCACACCTACCATATACTCCTAATTTAGTCTCTTCAGACTACCATATTTTTCAGTCGCTTTCTAACAATTCAAGGGGTGTTTCGTTCAACAACGATGTGGAACTTAAAACGTGGCTTGATAATGTTTTTTCTACTCAAAACCTAGTGATTTATATAATCGAGACATTGAATACTTAGTGAATCGTCGGGATGAGGTCGTTGGCAATAAATGGAAATATATTGTTATATGATTCATCAGAACTATTAATAAATATGTATTAACATAAATTGTAAAAAAAAAACAAACGAATTTATGTATCAAGCTAATACTAATCAGAAGTAGTCTTAGTACATGAAACATTTACTGGGAGCCAATGATGCAGTTTCCTTAAATAATGCAATATTAGATTGTTCCACATCCGAAGGTTAACACTTATCACATACGATTTTCTTAAATTCTATTTCTGAATCTCTAAGTCTTTGAAGAAAACCATTAGAGCACAATGGACAAAAGTCTTGATAAAGTCAGCTTTTAATTTTTACCTCCATTTTTTTTTCTTGTTGTTGTTGGGGGCGGGGATCTTTTGCGAATTACTATTTATAGTGATGATAACCATTTTTGTTGACTTCCTTCTCATTTTAATATGTCTGTTTTTAATAGCCATTATTAAAATGTATACACCCCGCCATAAATATCTACAATATAATTTTGACTAGTTTCACTGGTTTCTCTATTTTTTACGACTTTTAGATTAAAATATTTTGGGGGTCGGGGAGATAATAATGATTCAGTAATACAAATCTTAGTAATTAAGAGACAAGAAATGAATTCATACATTTCCCAAGGGTATTTGCGCGTAACTAAATTTAAGGAACCCGACTGGAATTGGAACTAGACTCTCCAATTTTTTCTAGAAGGTATCACCACCATCACTTACAACACCAGATATCAACCCAAGCGGCCAAAGATCTAAATACTGACCAGGATCAACGTTGCCTAACTTTGGTGATAGTATGAAACGCAAAATGCAAGAAAACCACATGTAATATTCAACTGTTTGGTCTAGGAATATCATCTGTGTAACCCCTCGGAAGAGCGTGTTCAGACCTATAGAACTAAATCTGAATCTTTTTTAGTCTATGAAAAAAATCATTAAGACAAAAGCCTTAATAATGTCAGCTTTTTATTTTTACCTCATTTTTTTTTTATTTTGAAGGGGTGTCTTTTGCCAATTACTCTTGAAAGTGATATAACCAATTTTGTCAACCTTTTTCTCATTTTAATATGTCTGGTTTTAATAGCCAATATAAGATTGTATACCTACAGAAATATCTGCAATATAGTAACGCGGATTTTTGACTAGTTTCATTGATTTTTTTTTTTTTTACACAGCTTATCAAACTTTTGCAGAAAGACAGAAAATATTTCTAGATTAAAATATTTTGGGGTGGGGGAGATAAGTATTTATTAATACACTTACTAATTAACCCATAGCTGGGAGACAAGAAGTGGACTCAAATATTTCCCAAGAGTGATAACGAACCCAACAGGAATTGGACTCGGGTCTCCGATGAATAATTCCGAGTCGTTATCCATCCCATCATCTAGTATTCTCAAGCTGTCACCCCTCTAGCTACTGACCAGGCTCGACGTCGCTTAACTACAGTAATCGTACGGGAACCAATGTTTCAACGTGATATGGCCGTAAGCTTAGGGGAGTGAAGAGGCGAATCGATAACTTTCCCATGGGTGTTTGCGCGTAAGTGAATTTACCGAACCTGACTGTAATTGGGACTGGGCGCTCCAATTTTTCTGGAAGGTATCACCACCCTCACTTACAGAATTTTGTGCACCCAAGCAGTCGCCCATCTAGGCACTGACCAGGATCAACGTTGCCTAACTTTGGTGATAGGATGAAACACAAAATGCAAGAAAACCACATGCAAGATTCAACTGTTTGATCTAGGAATATCATCTGTATAACCCCAAGGGAGAGCATGTTCAGGCCTACAGAACAAATTTCATTTGAGTTATTTGGCAAATAATGTCAAGACTGCGCAACGGGTTCTCGGAATATTCAAAATGATTCGATACTCTCTCGTTAGATGTCATAAAGTAATGTAACGCAATTCGGTTCCTTAACACTGTGGAAAGACCACGCTCATCAGAAATGCAATAAAATGAAGCCTTCGAAGATCCTAGTGTGACTGTTGGCATTGTATGGCTACGAAACCTGGACACTGAAGCTGCCAATGTTAAACTAATGTAATTCGAGACAATGTGCTAGAGGCAGGCACCGCACATCTGTTAAACGGTTTGGGCACCTCGAAGCAGTGTAATGGTTAGCAAGCTTGCCTCGCTAGAACAATTACGACCGAGTAGCGAGTTCGATTCTCACTGGATGCCCTCTGCTTTCGGTCTTGTGCCACATCTAAGATAAAATAAGATAAAATCACCATCAGTTAAACGGGCCACAAAACAAACAAATCTATCACATAGGAGATTGGACCAGAGTTGAAATCGGTCATGACCATAAGAAAGTGATGACGGCAATAGTTCAGCCATGTCATCAGTGCCAATAAACTCTGCATCAACATACTGGAGGGACGTATCGATGGCAAGAGACCAAGGAGAAGACCAAAGCGACGCTGAATTGATGACGTCAGAGATTAGACAGGGAGAATGCTGGTTGAATGCACGGTCGTGGGGAAGAATAGGAGGCAGTGGAGGGTGTTGGTACAATTGTAGATGGTCCTTGACCGTTAGGAATGATAATGGAAAAAGTAATGTTCTCGAAGGTTCCCGAATACGACAAACACCTGAGAAATCCTGGAAAATATATTAGCAGAATTTTGGGCTGCTGTACTTGCCAGCATTTGTCGAATGAGAAAAGATTAACTTAAGAACTGCTTGATATGCAAAGTCTCCTATCGCACGATGTTTCTAATACTGAAAATATAAACGTTTTTGGATGTGTATTCGATTGGGTATAAAATCCCTTTTCAAATGGTCTAGTTTGTATTAATCAACAGGAAATTTCTTCCTTAATCTATGTTTAAAAGGATTTTTCAATTGGATGAATAGGGAAAATATTATGTGCGACGAAGTCGCCCCTTGTCCTTGGGGTATTCGTTAAATATATAGTGCGGTCTAAAAGTGGGGGATCAACATTAACTTTGTTAGTAATTAAGACTACTTTAGAATGAATGCCTAAGTTTTCGGCCAACCAGTTTCCCAAAATCTAAACATACATCAAAATTTATTTTGAGATTCAACTTGTTCGGATAGAGCTCTTCTCGACACTCCACAACTACTGTATAAAAACAGTGATGGCGGACAGAATTTAAACTAATTTTTACACTAAAAATTCGAACACCAATCTAAATTCACTGACGTGTGAAAACAATGAAATATTGCGAGCACTGAAAGAATAAGGACTGAACAGAGATCCCTAACCCGCAATGATTTCTTACATCACTACATTGCAATCAACAAAGAGAGGAAACAGTGAGAATCTTAAAATTCAGAGTTATCACCCCCACTCCGTACAGCCCCGAGTTGGCACCGTCAGGATTCGGGTTATTCACGAAATTCACAGATGCGTTGAAAGGTCAACATTTTTCATCCGATGCCGAAATTGCTGTAACGTAATTTAATCAAATGTAATCCAAAAACTTTCTTTCTAGATGAAATGAAAACGTGGAGAGAAAGTTTGAAAAATAAATTGTACTAAATATTGATCTCCTTGAAAAATATATTATCTTGAATATTATATATATATATATATATATATATATATATATATATATATATATATATATATATATATATATATATTTTTTGATACCAGTTTCATTATTCTCTCTGGCATAAAACTTGAGTTATAAGATTGGAGACCTTATTTATCACTCAGCACTTGTATAATAGGACAGGTCGATTTTACACGTTAAAAAAAAGCTGGTGTGAAAGTTGGGGTTTGATGTGATAAGTACTGCCACCAAAGATTAAATTCATAGCTTTTGCCAAGTTTTTAGAATTTAGTTTTGAAGATAGTCAGAAAAAAATTTGCCGAAATACTTAATTTCCGAAGATTTTTTTTTTTTTTTTTTGCTTTTGACTTCAAAATTTTACTATTTCAAGAACAAATCCAAATAAAGAGGATATTTTTGTGTTAGACAAAATGAATGGAAAACATATCCAAATCAGAATTCTAATTATAAATCACCACAAGCAAAATATTGAATACAATAAAATAATGAATAAGTAAAAACAGTGTAAAAAATTGTAAAAGATTGCAAAAAGCCTACTCAATGAATAAGACTTGATAGATCATAATTAATAAAAGCATGAAATCGATAAAAGTGTCCATAACATTAGTGGGTACAAATTATAAGACAAAATGTTTTAAATTTGCGTTGTTTAATGCAAATCGCAGTAAACTACTGCACTGTATAATATATAACATCATAATGTAATTAAATCGTTCGTTTCCCTTTGAAATAAGTGAAGTTTGGTTTGGGTTGGTTTATTTTCCGGCATAACAACATCAATGGGTGCACCTCGAGGTGGTGTAATGGTTAGCAAGCATGTCTCGCTAGAACAATTACGATTGAGTAGTGAGTTCGATTCTCACTGGGTGCCCCCTACTTTCGGCCTTGTGCCATATCCAAGCTACGCTTGGAAAATCACTATATCAACCTCAATGGGTTATTTAATGCCGACAAAATTTTTATTGCTGGTAATATTTTGTTTGGGTTTTTTTTACAAAATATTTCTGATACTAAAACATATTTTTACACTTTCATAGTGTTTTTACCCCAGTTTCGTTGTTAACTATTTACCCATAGCTGAGACCCTAACAGGTGCTACCACACCGGGTCAGGGCGAACCTGGAAACATCTGCAATTAAGAAGTGGTTCCACGATCCTCAACATCTCCTGATCAGAGGCCTTGCTGCTGGACGTAGTTTATCGTCATACCCAGGACGGGAAATAAGTGATGTCTCCTTTGATGGCACAATGATTTAGTAATATGATTGTGCCATGCATCTTTTTTTATATGCAATTTGTAAAGCTTTAGGAAATTATAAATTTCATAAAGATATGCTATAAGGCTTTCAATGATCAGATGAAAGAAATTCCAACGCTTGACCGATCATCCATAAGTTCTGTCCGAATTTTGTATAAAGAAAACAAGTGACCAAATGTTACATTTAATTACAGATTCAATCAACAATGTATTTTCCCTGATTATTTATGACTTCCTTCCATCTATTAACAAGCTTACTAATTCCATTACTGTAAAATTCTTTTGGCTTTGATTCGAAGAACTCACAAATGTCAGTTTTAACCTCTTCCTGTGTTACAAAAGCTGTTTCTTCCAAATGATTCTGTAAGCTACGAAACAAATGGGAGTCTGAAGGATCAAGATAGGGAGAATAAGTTGGATGAGGAATTTTCTCCCAACCAAGTTCTTCGATCTTTTGTGATGTGATTCTTGCTTTGTGGAGTCGCGCATTGTCCTGATGAAACATCAACTCTTTTCGATTCACTAGAGCAGGTCTTTTTTCCTCAAAGCTTGGTTCAAACGCTCTAATTGCTGACAGTATATTTGAGCATTAATTGTTGCATTAGATGGTAAGAATTCAAAGTGGATTATTCCTTGGTGATCCTACCAAAGTGAAAGAAGAACATTTTGCCCATAAAGTTCGCTTCTCGGCTGTGGTCCTTCCCCTTTATCAAGCCACTGTCTACGACGCTTAACATTTCGATAAAAGATCCATTTTTCGTCGCCAGTCACAAGTCTATCCAAAAAAGGTGAAAGAAGTTGGCGAGAATGGAGAGAAGAGCAGATGTCAACTCGGGATTTGAGGTTGTTTTCACACAATTCATGAGGCACCCATTTTCCAAGTTTAGGAACTTTTCCAAGTTGTTGAAGATGACGATGAACAGTTGTACGTTTTGAACTGAGAACCACTGCCAATTCCTCAACTGATAAAGCAGGATTTTCTTCAAGGGCTGCTTAAAGAAGCTTTTCATCAAACTCAACTGGACGTCCGGTTCGATCTTCATCTTCAAGGGTGAAATCTCCACCTCTGAATTTTGCAAACCATCTTCTGCAATTTTTTCATTCACACATTCCTCTCCATAAACTGAGTGAATGTTTCTAGCCGATTCGGCTGCTGAGTTTCCTTTCTTGAACTCATGAAGCATTATGTGCCTCAAATGATTCTTGGGTACTTCCATGTTAGCAGGGTTTTAATCAAACAAAATTTAATTTTATTGTTCTCTGAAATAAAATTTGATCAGTTTAAATGCATCTAAACATAAAAATAATGTTCAGTTCCATTAGACATTATAAAATACTCTTTAAATTTCGCTTATTTAAAAAAAAAAAACTTAAAATTCGGACAGAACTTATGGGATGATCTGATATAATAATAATACTAACAAAGTCTCGTTTCCCCACCGCCTTAACCAGGTATTGGACTGTGCCATGTGCCCTCAAGGACACATGGCACAGTAGATAAAGGCGTTAGTTAGATCCAGTGGCAGGACCCAAAGAGATCAATACCTTGTTAAGTGAGATGTTGAGTGTTTCCGCGTGCGTGTATTGAAATAAGGACAAACACATACGCAGGGGAAAATACTGATATATCTGAAGAGGTATTTACAACAGAGAGATTAGTAGTCAAACGAACGCAGGTTA